ATACACCGGCGACTATACACGAGCTAGGTCGCCAGCCGTTTTAGATTTGTGCCGCAATTCTGCATTTCCTCCCTATACCTTAAGCGTTAAGCGCCAGGAATGTTTCCCCTTCTTGTACACCTCTTGACCTTTGACCTTGCACCCCAGCTATCGACAGTCCAACTCGCTTTTCGCGATTACCCCCCACGCTCCCGAATATCGTGACGTACGTCGAGGCCGTGTAAGATTTGCTGCCCAACTGTTGCAACGGACGGACGCACGGACGGACGCCCACGCGACGCGACGATCAGTGCGATTCTACAAGCTGCATCTGACTATGCTCACATGAGGCCTAAAAAGTAATATAATTCATTCCCCACCCTTAGCAAAAATTAATAATTATAAGTACGGTGGTCAATATATCGTTCTGTGCTGTCATAATTGCCTGCTGCCTGTGCCGTTAAAATAACCTAAGCAAAATAAAACGGCCTAACAGCCCCTACAGCAGTCCATACTACGATGTGGACTGGCTGGCTACGGCAGCCGTATCTCCAAGTTACGAGGCTGCAGGTACGGCAGTCCATTTGCATATGCGTCGCTTTCCCACAAAAAATATGCCTTGGAAATTAAGTAGCTGGTGCCACCGATCCAACTTTTAAGTTCCGGCCAGGAACCAGAACCAGCCGAACTACCTTGCCCGCAACCGGAACTGCAAGCTGTTGAATAAACTTGACAGTTTTAACTGGCCCAGTAATTGCGCAAACTCATTCGGCCTGAACAAAACATTATTAAGCAGGCACATCACTCAGCCGCAGTAGGACAATGCTCATCTGTTCTACACTGTTTCATACTGTCACATGTGCTCATTGTTTTACAAACCTAGAACACATCTAACTCAGCAAAGCGTTCACAATTCTACACTTGTTCTCATTTGTTCTCATGCCCTACAAAGTCTAATACAGGCGCACTGTTGCTTGTCGTGTATGACATCATCTGCTTACAGCTGCATAACATCCCTTATGGCATCTTATTCCGAGCGAATTGGCTGGCAAAAACCTGCATGTTGCAGTATCCTGCGTTTTAGTCGATTATTTCTCAACTAACACAAACAGATGCCATTCCTGTCGCTCTCAAGATGTTATTGTATTTAAAACGAAAATCTCGTGAATCACCCTAACATTCAGTTAGGCTTCAGTTCAGTTCAGCGAATGTTCAAGTGCGCAAACGTATTTTCTGCGGCCCCGAATAGTGTAAAGTTTGTTACACACTATAATTGTCAGCCAAGTTGTCTCTAATTGATGGCTCAATCATACATTCAGCGACTGATCTTTTGATCTTGCATGACGCTTGGAGCAGCAAATGAAGATTAGGAAAAAGTCCGTTCCGCCGACTGTTCCTGAAGCGCTTCGGCTCAGAACGCAACTTTGAAAATTGCGGGAAAAAAAGACTTAGCTTCCAGCCAGGATCCAAGTTCCGGTGCACCCCTAAAATTAATCCACGATTTAAGGGAAGTTTGAGCCCGCATATATAGTTCGATTGAACTTATAAATATAACGAATCAAGATAGCCGAGCCGTGGGTATGAATTCAGAAATATAGCGGCGCGAGTGTTACTGTTAGCGTTTAGATTTAGGGGTGCAGATACCTTCATTAGACAGTTTTTGCAGTCACGTGGAGCGACTGCTCGGCGCAAACGAACTGCCGTACCGCAGCTCGCTAAATTGGAGATAGCAGTGCCGACTCGCATTCTCCAGCCACGGCCGCACACTACGTGTACTGCGTCCAAGTGCTGTCAGCTTCAGTGTCGCTGATAGGTCTATGTCCCCAGCGGTACTGCCGGAACGTAGTCCCTGCCGGTACGCGTCGGTAACGCGGAACGTTACCCTGCTAGCTAAATCACGGGTGTACTATCTAATAATATGCCCGCCCGACCGTTAACTCGCCTACTCCACTAACGAGTCTAGCGAGTCGCCTACGCCTACTCCCTAACTCTAACTCTAACCCTAAACACTAACCCTAACCAATATTCAGCTAGATAGTTACCAGGGGCCTACGTTCCGCGTTATACGCGACCGTACCCAGGCGTACGTTCCGCATGCTACCCTGGGGGGAACATAGACCTATCAGCGTCATGTGTCAGTCGTGAGCTTCAGACTTACATTTCTAACGCCAGCCTTCATCATGCGTTACAGTCGAATTCTAAAGACACCTAGCCCCCTACTAAACACATAGTATATATTAGTCATTAGATCAGCTTTCCCGGTACCTCTTAGGCGAAAAATTTAGTTTGTTTTAGTTTAAATCAGAGACGGGAGATACAAAGAAGTTACAAAGTAAACTATCTCGCATTTCACAACTAAAAAAACAACAGTGGAACACTGGGCACACTAGCGACAGCTTTCCTATTGCTCGCTCCACTTGTTTCATGTGCGCAAAAAGTGAAGTGAGACATGTCGCCATTTAGCTACGTGTACCTTGGGAGTGGTCGTTAATACTAAATAGATTAGTAGTGTCACAGTACTATGCACTTGTGATTGTACATGCAATATATAGCGTAAGCCACTACTAACACAGACCTTACATTCCAATGTTTATATGCAAGTTACTATTCACGCGCCATTACATCTAGCCAGATAGGACTGAGATAACTTGTAAAGTTGTAAGTTCGCATTCAATATTGTCGCTTATTTGACGTTATTTTACATGACACGACTACTACTATAGTAGTACTCAGTACTACGCGAAAAAAAAAATATATATAATCGCTAAAGAAATACGAAATCTATTTACTACCAAACTCCAAAGTCTTAATGTTTTCTATACCTTTCATTCATCTATTTCTAATATTCGCCGACGACGTAACCAATTTTCCTGTAAATCCCTGTCAAAATGCTCATTCGCAAACAAACGCTGGCTGCCGCTGCCACACTGCCACATAAATTATATAGCAGGTAGCGAAAGCGTGCTGGCCAAAATTTGCCTGTGACGCTTGCTTGATTTCACACGAATTACAACACAAATATTTCTTGAAAACCATTCTTACTCCATCTGTGTCTACTATTGAAGAACAGTGTTCACTTGCTTATAAGACATACTGTGTGTGTTTCGTAAACTGAGCTGTGCTCACCGCGAAATCACACAAAACCTAACGAAATTCTGCGCGCTTCGCTCTTGTGCCCGCAGTTTATGTAAATGGCGTCCGGGAATCAGGAACACACCACCGGCGCTCTTCGTGACTCGTTTTTGCCAACGCCTTCACTGGCGGCCTTTGGACGAGCGCTCGTAACCGCGGCAGCTTGGAACAAGCAGCGTGGGGTAAGTTTCTCAAAAATGCAGTGCGCCCGCGATAGCCTTGTGGGTTATACTTGCCCAGCGCATTTCACATGAAACTGCGCAACGTGGGAGCGAACGTCGCAGCCAATTGTCGTCAGGCTTTGTGTGATTTCGCGTGACACAGCTCCGGTTACGAACACAGACAGTATGTTTTTTATAACAAGCTGAACTAATGTTCCTTCAAATAGCAAACAAAGAGGAGTAGAATGGTTGAATATTTGTGTTGTATTCGTGTGAACATGGAAGCGTGATTTGGCATTACTGTGAATTTGGCAGCACGCTTTCCTACCTGCTAATATCTTATGTTGTCAGTGTGCCAGCGGCAGCCAGCGTTTGTTGGAGCATGAGCATCTTGGATGGCAATTTAGCAGCGAAATGAGTCTGCGCAATAATAGGTGAAAGAGAGTAATAGAAATTTGGTAAGTACTTTGGTTGTGTAAATAGCATTCGCATATTTATTTAGCATTATATTTTAATTGAAACGCTTCAAGTGCCTGTCTATAGCCCCTTGTTGGCACAGCGCTGTGGCCGCAACAAAGGGCTATAGTACTAGAGCTAACATCACACATGCAATTTTATGTTGGCCATGCGTTTTGAGTCTAGAAATAAAACGAAATTTATCTCATGACAAATTTTTTATAATTTCAGTAATGACTTAATGTCATTGTCAAGCGACAAAAGTAATCATTAGGCAATACGCTCACGTATCTAGCTCATCAGTTAGAATGGACCTGCTCGCATTCATTATATGTCACGATGTAAACTAATAATGCCAATAATGGTCTGTATTTGTGTAACTTCAGTACATTGGAGTTCGACAGTCCCTAGAAATAACCAGGATTCCAGGGGAGGCTTACAGATGGCCAATAACCAGGGATTAGCCCACAAGTTATAATAGTCTAACATGGAATATCAGACAACACCAGACGTGCATTGCAGTGTGTAGCAACTCTCCGTAATTTCATACATTGATTTGTATCTCTTAGGGCAAAGCAGGCACTTGGCTTCTGTCTGAAACCACTCGCGGTACGGTACAGTTAGTTGCTCTCCTCCAACTTACTATTGCCAAGTAAAACTCAAGCACGTGAGAGGATTTTACAGATTTTTATATGTGTTTAAACGTTTTTATTTTTTATATAGCTCATCTTGACATAGTCAGATCCAGCTTGTAGAATCGCGATGATCGTCCGTCCGTGCCGTCCGGTCCCGTGCGTCCGTACGTGCCGTCGATCAACAGTTGCGGCACAAATCTTAACGCTTCGACGTACGGTCACGATTATTCGGACGTGGGGGGCGTAATCCGAAAAACGAGTTCGGATGTCAAGCTGGAGGGCGTGCAAAGCTCAAAGTCAAGAGGTGTAAAATAAGGCGGAAACATTCACTGCCTTAACTTAAGGTATAGGGCAGGAAATGCCAGAATTTGCCGCACAAATCTAAACGGCTCAGCCTAGGCTCGTGATAGCATCGCGTGTATAGCATCATAGTAGGGAAAAGCCATCACTGTGCCGAAATTGGAGCGTCACAGGTCAAGGTCAATGGGCCCCACAGGGCAGATTTTAGGACATTTTCTGAGGAACATGTCTTGACGGAGACGCAATGAAAACTTTTTTTGTTTCAGCCGATGACCTACCCATTTTTTAACTGCTTATATTGAAAGGACCATAAATGTGCTTATCAACTGACGTGCCGAAGAGTAAGTGTCTGATAACCTTTTGACCGCAAAGAGGAGGGCCAGGTTAAACATGGATTTGTTAACTGTTACTGGTTAGCAAAGAATTTTGACTGCCTGGGCTTTGCTAGCTAGAAAATCTATACATGCCTGATGTATGAGGCATACAATGTCACAGTGAATTTCAAAAGCTAAATTTGCTTGTCAAGAAGCCGTTTATGCTCGCTTAAATCGTCTAATATAATTTCTTATGGCATTCTGTACTGTCAGTTTCGTTAATATGCCACATGCCAGTGCATGTGGTCCGGCGCTGGATAAAAGTATGGTGTAGTTTTTGCCTGCGTTATTAGGTACAGGTGGCAGCTCTCTATTGCCCCAGCTTGTAGGAGCGTGTTAAACATTTTGATTTCGTTCCTCAACGCCTGTTGGCTGAGTACCTGTGGTGGCTGGAACGCTTACCATTTTTACAGTGAAATTCCACACATAACTCTTACTTGAACAATGTTACTTAGAGATAGATGAGCATGAGTTAGTATATGACCGATTCTGAGTGTACATTTATGAATAGTATGGAATCAGGTCACTAGCACTCAAATAATTACCCAGGAGTGAGGCCTTGTGGCATCCCAGACTTTAATTTTCTTATCAAATTTGGCACCAATATAGACGCAAATGTGTACGTTCTTGAGCTTATTCGCCGTCCACTAATCACTGGCCTACCTTGTTTTGTTTTTGTTTTAATAGGGTTAGGGCTCACATGCACCATAAAACATTAGTTTCTAGGCCACGCCATTTGTATCAACCAATGGGATTTGAGTTTATGCAGGAAATCGCAGAAGCGTTGCTGAATGATGTGTACGCAACTGCCGTATCTGCATCTGCGCCTAACAAAGGTGTCACTACGCACAACTTAAATGTTACGTTTATAACCGTAGCAACAGACCTCAGATGAGCCCAGACGCTCTGCGGCTCTTGTTTGTATCTTAAGTGTTGCATGATGAGGAGCTTTTGGCAGTAGCTTCTAAGATTTGCACGATCATAACAAGGAAATGCTGAAGAATTTTTCAGCATTTGATAAGTGCATGGTTACATAAACACATACAAGTTTCTTTACTATGTATTGCACATACATATATATTCACATGTCCATACGCATGGTATTAGTTCGCGTACTCATTCTCAGAATAATGTTTACCAACATGTATGTAGGGTATTAGCTAGCACTGAGAAAGAGGTGGTAGTGTCAAATGACTAGAACAATCGTGTCTTGGCAATATGAGCACTAAAGATGCCCTAAATAGGCCATCGAAAACACAGGAAAATGATTCGTTAGGTAATACCCTGGTAACAGGTGGCCATCGTAGCTAACTCAAGCTGATGGCCAGTACTATAAACTGATTCACAGTGTCGGTGTCAGACATGCAGGCTAGTGTAGTGGCTGTAAATGTAAAATACTGTTATGTTGCTCCACGTGTGGAGTGGAAGAACGTCAAGTGGGGAGATTGGCACATACTTGCATTGCTTTTCTTTATTCAGTGGTTTATAGCCTGGGGTCATTAAGTCGCTGGTAATATCTGTTGTCACGTGGTCAATTTCAGTGAACAGTATACATGGTTTCTTATACATAGGAGGCACAGTGGCGCACCGCCATTGTCAAATTTAACATCGCCATTGTGAAAATGTTCTTGTATTTACTGATAAGTATATCCTGTATCTATATACCTATAAGTATACCAATACATCCTGTATTTGAATCCATCATGCGCGTTTTTTCCCAAACTGGCCATTACCTCCTTTGTCTAAATTTCTCGCGGAAGAAACCCTGGTATATACTTAGTAAGATAATATCTAGGGTTTCATTTGAGTTGGTTTTCACTTGTTCTCTTCCATCTGATAATATCATAGAAATTCTGTATGTAATTCTAACATGACAAACTAGCTCAGCAATATTTCCTGCATTCACGATTCCAGTTATAAATTCTGATGTTAGTGCAGCTTTAATGTTTTTATTGATATGATTAGCTCATTCTCATGACAAAAAGGATTAATTAATTTTAAGGCTAAACCTGCTGTTCGAAGTACTCGACCTAATGCTGCTGCTAAGCTTAAAATCTTAAATTGTAAACATTTGATTATCTTACGTCATATTAATACGTCATTTACATGAAAAACTGTAGGTTCTCATGTAGTTATCGCTAAATATACCGTAACTGCGTATGTGGGATGCTTT